ACAGGGATCTTCACGGCAGAAATGTTTCTGAAAATCATTGCCATGGACCCTTACTATTATTTCCAAGAAGGCTGGAATATTTTCGATGGTTTCATAGTGACGCTCAGCCTGGTGGAACTTGGCCTTGCGGATGTGGAAGGACTATCAGTCCTCCGTTCATTCAGATTGGTAAAAGACAAAATAAAAGCAAACCATAATGACAACCTTTCCAACAATCAGGATTTAGCATTGTCACATATTTTACTACATAACTAATGCTTTTTTTAAACTTTGGTGTAAATTTTCATTGTCACAAACTGTCCCTACCTGAAGAAATTATTCCCACTTAATCTGAAAAACATTTATTGAACATGACATCATCATGTTGTTTAATCTATTATAAAGCTATTATTTTTACTGTCATTTTCAGGGATTGTCACAGTTAGTTTTAAGTAAATATTGTAGTAGAAAGGCATTGCTTTCAGTAGTTACTTTAAACTATACACAGTCCTTTGGAATAGTGAATGACAATCTAATGCAAAATGTCTACTTAGAATCTTTCCCCACTTCTTCCTCTGAAAAATATACACCTTCCCAAGATTAAGAAAGAAATTTCTAAACATAGCCAGGAATTCATATGCTGATGTCCTTGCAAATTGGAAAAGAATTATAGAGTCATGGGAAATATTCTGGGTTCATCAATGCAGAAGCATCTAGCTATATGAATGTCCCTCCAAAGCATTAGTGAATAGTAAGCAATTTTTGCTCATTATATCAGCTTCATTGTGATCTTACTTGGCATCCTGTTTATAAATGACTCTGTTTCAGTAGAAATCATTGTGATTCAGATTTGAATATTACAGTGTCAGGTTTGGTAAAAAACAAACAAACTTTAAAACCACCTTCAAAAACCAAGAATGGGTATATTGCAAAGAATCATAAAAAAAATGCACTCACAGGAAGATTGATTTACATGAGTAAAACGTGAAAGGACCAGAATCTTCCTAAGTGATATAAAGAATTAGCCACAAGTTCAAGAGGGTATAAGAACAAGGCAGAAGATGTTTGAGATTTAATTTTATTTATCATTTCTTGGTAAACTGTAATATATTTAATATCTTTCATGATAGTAATTCATATTAATTCTTTATTTTCCAGCTCCGGGTATTCAAATTGGCTAAATCTTGGCCAACATTAAATATGTTAATAAAAATCATTGGTAACTCAGTGGGGGCTCTGGGTAACCTCACCTTGGTCTTGGCCATCATCGTCTTCATTTTTGCCGTGGTCGGCATGCAGCTCTTTGGGAAGAGCTACAAAGATTGTGTCTGCAAGATCTCCAGCGACTGTGAACTCCCACGCTGGCACATGCATGACTTCTTCCACTCCTTCCTGATCGTGTTCCGAGTGCTGTGTGGGGAGTGGATAGAGACCATGTGGGACTGTATGGAGGTCGCTGGCCAAGCCATGTGCCTTACTGTCTTCATGATGGTCATGGTCATTGGGAACCTGGTGGTATGTACCCAATTAATATATGTATTTCAGGAATATATTAAAAATCTAATAGAAGGATGATAGTTTTTGGTTGTTTATTTTAAAAGACTCCTACCTTTTTTTTTCCTTGAGTTGTTATTTAATTATTTTTTTATAAATCATTTTATTGGGGGCTCATACAACTCTTTGATAATATAGTGTTAGTAGCTGTGACTCTACAATTTTTATACTCAACTGCTTGGTGTCAGTCATTGCATTACATTTATTGTGTGATCCCCAGTGGAGTATTGATCCTCCAATTGAGTACCTCTCATAGACTATTCATAGAAAGATATGCTTGGAGTTTGATGCGATCAGAGTCAACAAAGGGAGAATGTCCAAACTACTGGTCAAAATAGGACTAAGAAATTGTGCCTTTAAGTGCTCATCATGAGTCGATCATTTCCTTGTCACTTCTAGACATATAGCAATCAGTCACTCCATGTCATGTGGTGGTTAGTCAACCTAGGTTTGCCAATTCTCTAGTGTCTCTGAAGCAAAGCAAAAGATGGCTAATGATGCCGAATGGACTAATTGATCAATCCTCAATCTTACATTTGAAATGCTAATGTTTAAAATGTGGGAATGTGTAACATATCCCAAAGAGTATGTTAATGTACTAGTCTCATGGAAATATTAGAGATTTTTAGAAATAGTTCTAATTACATAGCCATTGAGTATAAAAAAGACAATAGATTAAGATATGTCGATGTTGATATTAAACCATTCATTCTTTTTTTATGTATACTGATTTTTCAATAAATATCAACTTAGTATCTCTGTTAAACAAAAAGGAAACTAGAGACCCACTGCTGTCCAGTGGATCCCAACTCATAGCCACCCTAAGGACAGACGAGAACTGCCCAGAGCACTCCTGAGATTGTAAATCCTATTGGCACAGACAATTTCAACTTTCCCCTACAAAACAGCTCATAGACTTCAACTACTAACCTGGCTGACTGTTAGCTGCTCAACGGGTAACCCATTGTGCCACCAGGCCCTTACAAGAAACTATAAGAGGCATTTAGATGTATAATTACAAATACCAGTAGTTATTTTTTTAACTGAAAGCCTTTGTAAAGGCTCTCTGGTGGTGTTGTCCAATAAGCATGAGACTGCTGCCCACAAGGTTAGCACTTCAAACCCACTAGTCACTCCGCAGGACAGTGCTGTCTGCTCCTGTGAAGACAGACAGCCTCAGAAGCCTATCTAGGGTCACTATGAGTCCGAATTGACGTAAACGCAGTGGTGAGTTTGGTTCACAAGACTTGTCTACATCATATGGAACAATTTGGAACTTAGCAAACACTTCATGCTAGCTCTTTTAACTTCTTCATTTTATACATTGAAGAACTTAAGACCAACAGAAATCACATCTTTTCCTAAGGATGAAGCCACTGAGCATGATCACACATTCAGATTGCCCAACTCTTAACTACTGTGCTATGGTGCTTCCTTCTCATATGCAGGTCAAAATGTTTAGTTCTTTCCTCATTTAGAGGAATCAGTGATCTCAATCGGATGTTTCTCTTGAGCTGAATTTATAATCCTGTTTGTATTGGTTTTCCAGGTCCTAAACCTCTTTCTGGCCTTGCTTCTGAGCTCCTTCAGTGCAGACAACCTTGCCGCCACTGACGATGATAATGAAATGAACAACCTCCAAATTGCTGTGGATAGGATGCACAGAGGGGTCGCCTATGTGAAAAGAAAAATATATGAATTTATTCAACAGTCCTTCGTTAGGAAACAAAAGATTTTAGATGAGATTAAACCACTTGATGACCTAAACAACAAGAGAGACAACTGTATGTCCAATCATACAACAGAAATTGGGAAAGATCTTGACTATCTTAAAGATGTAAATGGGACCACAAGTGGCATTGGAACTGGCAGCAGTGTTGAAAAATACATTATCGATGAAAGTGATTACATGTCATTCATAAATAATCCTAGCCTTACTGTAACGGTACCAATTGCTGTTGGGGAGTCTGACTTTGAAAATTTAAACACAGAAGACTTCAGTAGTGAATCAGATCTGGAAGAAAGCAAAGAGGTAAGATTCTCGAGATGGGGGTAGGTATGCATGTTTACATATATGTACATGCATAGTTTTACTTGAATTTCTGGTTCTACATTTTCAATCTAGAATTTTCTTACCATAATATAGAATTGTACTACATGAGGAACCTAACATTTAAGACCAATAAGAAGAGTATTGATAAATTGAAGAATAATATGTTACAGATGCACTTTTCCCATCTTTAGTAATGGATACTTAATAAGTAATACATGAATGAGTGAACAAACATCATCTGATTTTCATCTGATTTAATCCTTATAATAACCTGGAATGAGATGTATTATATTAATATATCATATAAAAAAACTAACTTAAAAAAAAAAAGAAAACTAACTTAAGGTAATATAACTACTGAGGAATTGAGCTAAGACTTGAACTAACACTTTAGAGATGTCCTGACTTTTTAAAATGACATTCTGAATAAAGTAAGTCAACCTACAGGTGAGGAGTGGGCTCTGGGGAGACTAATGACTGAGCCAACAAACACCGATCTTTTATTACAGTGAATATCCACAGAGACATTGGGTTGTTCTGTTCCTCCATGCCTTGTGACAGTTTGTATTTTAGAGTATTGGATTAACTGACATTTTAAATGTTAAATTAGTAGAAACTTTCGAGAGAACCTAGTGCAGTGTTTCTCAAATTGTGAATTGGGACACAGCACAAGTTGAAAAACTAATTTATTGGGTCAGTATTCTTAAACCTGTAATAAAATATATTGTTCCCAACTGTCGAAGTACCTTGCAGAGTGACAGATATTACTATGTGACCTTTTCTCTCTGTCTTTTGACTCTGCTGAACTTCCACGGATGGCCTATCTAATTAGCGTGTACTCGCGGGTCCGTGCGTATTGGGTTGGCCAGGCTCTCCTGATTCTGGATGGAGCTTCGGCTTCTCTCTCCAAGCCCACTAGTGGGCACCGCCACTACCCCAGCTTTGTGCAGTCCCATTCTAGCCCACCCTCAGTCCTGCCAGCTCCCCTTCTTCTGGTCCTTGGGCAGGACAGCCCTGCCACCTCAGCTTTGGGCAGCAGAACCAAGCCCAACCCCCTGGCCCCAGCCCCATGGCACTCATGAATGGCATCCCACCCTCCAGGCCAAGTTGGTAAAGCTCTGACTCTGAAGCCTGTGAGGGAGCCGCCCCATCCATTGAAACCCAGTAGACCAGGCGTGTTTTCGCCCTTTGAAATCCCAGAGAGCTGGCCCTATCCTTTGAGCCCAGGATAGCTATGCTTCTTATCTTACCTCTTCAGCTTCCTCTCCGAGTTCCTTGGCTTATGGACCCCTGGGGCCTCTGGGTGCAGCCCAACCTCTGCTGTCCTCAGCCAAGTGTTTCAATAATAAGTGCCCAGAGGGCCCTGCTCCCCCAGAAAGCCCCCTGCCTGAAGGCACTCTGGTCTCCTCCTTGGCGATTCGTCTCGTGTGCTGGCACCAGCCTCTGGGTTCCCTTCACATTTCTCTGCAGCTGCTTTTGCACAGATGTGCAGTCTCTGGTGCTAGAGTTCTTGCTTCCCCTGAACCTTCGCGACAATTACCTCTGAAGCTCACAATCCCATCGACCGTCTCTTCAAGGCCCTCTGGGCTTTCACTGTGAACCAAACCAAACTAAACCCACTCCCCTCAAGTAGACTCCGACTCAAAGCGACCCTGTGTAGACAGAGGGAAGCTACTCCTCAGAGTCTCCTACTCTTTAGGGGCTTACAGGAGCAGACAGCTTCTCTACACTCCTGAAGAGCAGCGGTGAGTTGGCACACTGACCTGACTGTTAGCACAATGCTTAGTTCACAAGGTCCCTAGGACTCCTCGGGCTTTTACCATTGCTGCTGGCAGGGGCCATCGAGTCGGTTCCCACCCATGACAACCCTCTGCACAATAGACTGAAACGCCGTCCTCCCCGGCGCCATCCTCACAGTTGCTCCCATGCTTGCGCCTGCTGTTGCAGTCCGTCTTTTACTGTGAGTCATCTAAAAACGCGCCCACCCCTCAGAGTTCTTCCATGTTTTAGGTATCTCTTAAAGCACCACCCCACCCTGTCAGTGCCAAATTTTGTCTTAGGTATCTTAAACCTCAAAACTCACTGCCATCGAGTCAATGCTGATTTACGGTGACCCTATAGGACAGAGTAGAACTGCCCCTATAAGTTTCCAAGACTGTAACTCGTTACGGGAATCGACAGGCCCTTCTTTCTCTCATGGCGTGGCTAGTTGTTTCGAACAACCAACCTTGAAGATTGTAACTCAACCTGCCACCTCTAAGCCAGCAGGTCTTTTTTAGTTATCTAGGGCTGCTATAACAGAAATGCTTAAATAGAGGTCCTGGACAAATAGCAATGTATCCTCCCACAGTTTAGAAGACTAGAGGTTTGCATTCAAAACATTGACTTAGGGAAAGGCTTTCTTTCTCTGTCTCTTCATTCTGCGAGGTTCCCAGTGTCGGGACCCCCAGGTCCAAGGGACTCACTCCAGGTCAGCTTCTTCTTTCTCTATCCTTTTCTCTGCTATAAAAGGCACGGGGACACATTCCAGGAGAGCTCCCCAAATCAGACCAGGTCTGTGAACTGAGTCGGGTGCTGCACCCCACTCTAGTCCACTTACAACTGATTGGCTGATCACATGAGACCATATCACAGGGGATGCTTACACCATTACATAACTGCCAGATTTCATCATTGCATAATTAGCAAGCCACTGAGCATCAGGGTTCAGCTAAGGTGCCGTATATTTGGGGAGGGGGAGAGGTGTGCATAATTCAATCTATGACAGCTCCAAAATGCAGAAAAGCGTGGGTCACATTTCTCACCAATTTAAGTTCTAAAAGTTCTCATAAGTGCATTCAGATACCCTGAACATTTGTTTTAATAGCTCTACAAAGTGTCCTGGCTCATTGGATATCAGGACTATTGGACCAGCTAGAAATGTGCGTTCTTATTGAAAGTCTGTAACAAAGGATGATGGTTAAGAAGGATTTTGAAGAACTTTGAAAACTGACCCAACCTGGTGAGGTTACTTAAAAAGGTGATATTACATCATCTCTCTCCAATTAGATAGTAGATTCTTTGATTAAGGTTCAAATTTGATAGAATGTCTAATCCTCTGAAGGACCTTCCATATTGATGGATACTTAACAGCTGCTCAATAGAAGTTTGTTTGATGTTGAGTTGGTTAGTATAGCAATGAGAGGCCTTCAAAAAGTTTGTGGGGAAATTCTAGACATTTTTCTGAAGTCTCCTTGGACCAGAGTAAGAGTGTGACAGCGCTAACTCCACTACGGGCAAACCGCTCTTTAGATTACCCAGTTTCCTAGGATGCTTAGAAGAATGCTGTGAGGATTTAAAAACCCTTTGAGAGGCAAAAGTGCTGAAAACAGACTTACCATATTGATTCTGTTTTAATCAATACTTTCAAAGTTGACAAAGACATTAAAAGCATGTCTCTTTTGGAATAAAAACAATGTACTACCAAAAGAAACCTCCCCCAAGCCCCTGGAATGGCCACCCAATGTTAGGTGACAGTCATTGGGGTCCACGCTATTTGTTGCTGTTGTAAAAGTACCATCGAGTTGGTTCCAACTCATAGCCACCGTATGTACCACAGAACCTGACACTGCCTGGCTAATGCACCAGACTCATGATTGCTGTTCAGTTGGAGCCCATGGCTGCAACCTTACGAAGTCGTGTGAATAAGACTTTCCATGTGTGAAGTGCTCACCATAATCTAAGCACCGTTTGAACTTTGCAATGTTCATCCTCTGATGTGGGCATTGTGATCATCTTATAGATGAGGAAATCAAACATGATAAGTTTATTACCTTGCTGAAGCCACACACATAGTAATATCATCATTCAGCTACTGTTTAAGCTCCTGACCTCCACACTACACTAAGACAACTTCTTCATGATTTATGAAAGTATATTTTCTTTGGTATAGCTTTCAAATATATGATACTGTTATTTACTAATTGATTATAGATACCAACTATAGAGCTAGTATTAATGACATGGATATAAGTGATCAGAAGTGTCTGTCTTTTCTCTAGAAGTCCACTTCCCCTGTACTGGGCTATTCTTAAGGCTGATGCTTCTGCACTCCACACTGACCTGGGTAGGCAGGTCATTTCCTAACACCACAATCAATATTCTAATTACAAAGCACTTATTCTCCTAGATTGTGGCTATTCAAAGTTATGTGTAAGGAACATCCTCTTCTGGGCTTAGTGCTACCTGAAAGTGTCTTTCCCTTCTTGGGGAGAACTTCTGTCATTGCACCATCAATTTGGGAGGTCTTTGAGGCCAGAGAACATCCGGTCTTACTAACTGTCAATCTGCAGCCCAAAATATTTATGGAATGAATAAATGCCCAATGCATGACTATTTATAGGTTCCAATGTGTTCTCTCAACCATACTGCCTGTGTTAAAAAGTTACTTCCTGCCCAGTTGATGTTTTGCCATTTCATAATTTTATCTTCGATATAGGTTAAGGAGCGCATGACATTTTTTAACCAAGACTCATAATGCAGAATGTCAGCAGGCTAAGCTTATGCTGCCACAGGGAGTTTTAAAAGACCTTATGTGGACAATGGCAGTTTAAAAATGTACTCGAAGGCAGAAATTATGTCAGTTTTATTAACTACAATATACCCAGAATTTTCCCATAAGTATACCAGAAAGTCTTTGATGATTACTCTGGAATCAAAATATGAGGCTGTCACAAAGGCTTGCTAATTGGATTTCATTTTAGACATACATGGCTTTATTCCAAACGATACGTGTTTAATTCTGTTTCTGTGATCATAGCGACAGACAAGTTTTTTCAGTAATACCTTTGTCTTGGCCTCTTTGGATTGCCTTTTGGGGGGAAAAAGTCTAATCAACACAGTGGCATCCAAAGGGATCTGCTGAGTCAGCTAAATTCAAGGCAGACAGACAAGCTCAGACGTTTATGGTGACTATGCTTTGAGAGCCCATAGGGGTCTCA